CTGATAAAAAGCCCCCCTGGCCACGGCCGTCATATGCTCTTCTAAAGACAGCCGTGCATCCAGGAGGATGCCCAAGTTACGAGCCCTCTCCATGGGGGTCAATGACTCACTCCCAATAGCCAGCGATGGCACCAGCTGGCTATATCGGGACGCCGGCAGCCACAGCCACTCGGTCTTGGAGGGGTTGAGTCGGAGCCTGTTCTTCCCCATCCAGATCCGCACAGCCTCCAGGCACCGGGACATCACTTCAAGGGCATCATTGGGGTGGTCTGGGGTGGAGATGTACAGCTGAGTGTCATCAGCATACAGATGGCACTGCACCCCAAATCCACGGATGATCTCACCCAGCGGCTTCACATAAATGTTGAACAGGAGAGGCGAGAGGACCAACCCTTGCGGCACCCCACAAACAAGGTGCCTTGAGGTCGACCTCTGCCTCCCTGTCAACACAGACTTCAACCGGTTGGAGAGATAGGAGGAGAACCACCGTAACACGATGCCTCCCACTTCCAAGCCCTCCAACCGGCGCAGCATGATACTATGGTCGATGGTATCAAAAGCCGCTGAGAGGTCTAATAGGACCAGAACAGAGGAGCAACCCGTCCCGAGCCCTCCAGAGATCATCCACCAATGCGACCAATGCTGTTTCCGTGCTGTACCCAGGCCTGAAGCCGGACTGGAACGGATCTAGATAGACAGTTTCATCCAGGTACTGTGGGAGCTGTCGTGCAACCACACTCTCAACAACCTTCGCCACAAAGCGAAGGTTGGAGACTGGACGGTAGTTTGCCAAAACAGCCGGGTCCAGAGAGGGCTTCTTGAGGAGGGGCCTCACCACTGCCTCTTTCAAGGTGGGAGGCAGGAAACCCTCACTCAAAGAAGCGTTTATAATCCTCTGGAGCCAGCCTCGTGTAACCTCCCAGGTAGCCACCACCAGCCAGGAGGGACACGGGTCCAATAAACATGTGGTTGCATTCAACCTCCCCAGCATCCTGTCCACGTCCTTGGGAGTCTCAGGGTCAAATTCATCCCAGATAACATTCTCAAGACCCACCTCGGACATCCTGCCTGAACCCACCCAGTCAGAGTCCAAGCCTTCCCGAATTTGAGTGATTTTATCATGCAGATAATGCGGAAAATCCTCAGCTCGCCCTTGCAAGGGGTCTTCCCCTGCTCCCAGGTGGAGAAGGGAGCGGGTCACCCTAAACAGGGCAGCTGGGTGGTTATCTGCCGATGCGATAAGAGCAGAAAAGTAGTTACACTTTGCCGCTTTTATCGCCACTAAGTAGGTCTTGAAATAAGACCTCACTAGTTTCGGTCGGATTTGGAACGACTAGCCCTCCAACTACTCTCTAGGCGTCTTTTCCGGCGCTTCATCTCCCTCAGCTCCTCGGAGAACCAAGGAGCTGGGCAGGTTCAGCGCCGGGTCAGAGGCCACAAAGGCACGACCCGATCTAAAGCACCAGCGGCCGCCCTATCCCAGGCAGCCACCAGGTCTTCCGTCGAGTCATGAGCCAGAGTCTCAGGAAATGGCCCAAGCTCCATTTGGAACCTATCAGGATCCATCAGGCGCCTGGGGCGGACCACCTAGTCGGTTCCGCCTCCCTGCGGTGGGGTGCAGCAGTCAGAAAGTCAAGCCTAAGGAGAGAATGGTCTGACCATGACAAGGGTTCGATGGCTATATCCCCTGTATCTAGGCCATTCAACCACTGACCAGAGACATAAACCAAGTCCAGAGTGTGTCCTTCTGTATGAGTAGGGCCATGAATTAACTGGGTCAGGTCCATGGCTGTCATGGAAGCCATGAACTCCCGAGCCACCTCAGACGTTTCACCGATGGACGGCAGGTTGAAATCCCCCCTGACCAAAAGCCTGGGGATATCAACCACCACCCCAGCTATAACGTTGAGGAGCTCGGGTAGGGCCGCTGCTACGCAGCAGGGAGCCAGGTACGCAATCAGCAGGCCCACCTGCATCCCATGGCCCCACTTCACAAGGAGAGACTCACATCTGGCTATCTGAGGTACAGTGGCCTCCCTAGGATCAAGACCTTCCTTTACAATAACTGCCACCCCCCACCCATACCCTGGGCCCTCGGATGATGAAATGCATGGAAACCCAGTGGGCACATCTCTACGAGGGGGACCCCCTTCCTGGCCCAACCAGGTCTCTGTAATACCCGCCAGGTCTGCTCCCCCCTCCTGAATCAGCTCGCAGATGAGGGGGGCTTTGTTGACCATGGACCTAGCATTGCACAACATCAGCCTAAGACCCGGGCTCTGAGGCTCTGGACAACCCAGGGAACGAGAAGAGCATTGGGGGCCAGAGCACGTCACCGCTTGGAGACAGTGGATGTGTGCCCCCACAACACGATATGGCCCCCTGCTCCTACCATATCTGCCCCTCCCACCCACAGTCCTGATGGAATCGCCCTCCTCCCTACCAACACTAACCTCCTCAACTCCCCGCTCCACACCTCCCAAGATGCGACCCTGTGCTGGGCCTGGCCTTCCCTCTGACAAATCACCCTCCCTCTCCTTCGCCACACAACCCTCCCCCCCAAAAAACCCTTAAAAGATTGGCTAACGACAATTTTAAAAAACCCCTCAACCCCCTCTTCGCCGCATGCCACCTCTCGGGGTTCCAAAACCCGTCATCAAGGTAGGCCCTCGATAGAGTGGAGGGCCAATCCTGCGAGAGGGGGGAGTCTCGCAGAACAAGAAGCTCAGCTGCTGAATACATCTTGCCACAAAAGGATAAAGTGACCATGTCCCAAAAGGTCCAGATGGAGAATAAAAGGTCCAGGGGAGAACAAATAAGATGGGAGCATCCAAAATCCAAGGTCCAAAGTCCACTGTCCCCTCACAACAGTGGGCAAAGTCTCTTGCCAAGTCGATACAGTTCAAGGGGGAAACAATCCAACCACCCTTTCACAGTGATTGGTCTGATGGTCAGTCCCCTCTACTGGTGAGATGGAAGTAGTGAACCAATGCAAATATCAAACACATCCCAAGGGGTTAAAGTCCAAAACCACCCTCTCACGGTGGTTGGTCTGATAGTCAGTCCCCTCTGCTGGCGAAATGCAAATAATGAGCAAATACCATAACGACTCAGCCTCAAAGCCAGAACCACCCTCTCACGGTGGTTGGTCTGATGGTCAGTCCCCTTTTCTGGTGAGATGGAAGAAATACACCGACTTCCATAGCATCCCAATGTATTTGACACTCCCCAAACGGCTAGGGGGAAGGGCTCAGATGGAAATGAGCCAGATTTCGGTGTCAGTAAGTCAGTAAAGCGGCAGCCAGTCCGAGATAGACACAATACAAAAGGGGAAAAGGTGGAAAATAGGAGGGAGCTAATCTCCAACCCCCAGCCCCCCAAATCCAAACGAAGGCCTCCCCAATATCCGTGAGGAACTGACCCATTGACTGGGCAGCCCTCACGCAGGTCCTAGCCAATCCTGGACAGGAGATGTTTCTCTGCCACGTTGACCCCATCGACTACATCAGTAGGGCTGACAGCCGATGCTCTCCTCCCCGCCATCGTCAGACGGACGCCATTGCAGCCGCAGCTGAACCGCCGCTGCTGCAGCCACTGCCAAAATTCTGGCAGCGTCCCAGAGCTCACCAGGGAGTCTGGCAGTCCCCAAGGCACCCAGAAAAAAACCCCAGGGCCTGGGGCTATTGCCGTGCCGCAGACGACTCCAACAGACCCGTTGCTGCTGCTGCTCCGACCTCCGAACAGACTCCAGCTCAAGGAACACCACCGCCGTCCAGCTGATGTGATCCGACATACCGGACCTCGCAGACGCCGCTATCTTCACCCAGCCTCGATGTCCTAGGAGGGCAAAGCCCCCAACCGGCTGGTAGAGAACTCCCCTAGCCGGGCCAGGGGTCGCAGATCTTCAAATCGACCCCCAAAAGGACCTAAGAGGTAAATAGGCCAACATCCTCAAGCCGCGGTTCAGGCAGGCACCGCCATCTTGGACATGTTTATGTTTTATTAAATTTATATACTGCCCTACTCCCGAAGGATTCAGGGCGGTGAACAGGCACAGAATGAAATACATAAATACAAAAGTTAGAAACAATTTAAAACCAAATTAAATAATTTAGCCCAAGACAATTAAAATCCCAATAATTTAAAACAAATTAAAATTTCAATTTAAAAAATTAAAAAGAAAGGGGAGAAAATTAGGCTAGGCCAGCTTGCTGGAATATGAGGGTCTTAAGAGCAGGCGGAAAGTGCGTAGATCCGGGATCCTCCGTATCTCTGGGGGGAGCTCGTTCCAGATAGTGGCTGCCCCCACAGAGAAGGCCCTCCCCCTGGGGGCTGCCAGTCGACACTGCTTGGCTGAGGGCACCTGAAGGAGCCCCTCTCTGTGAGAGCGTACCGGCCGGTGGGATGCTGTTTGTGGTAGTAGGCGGTCCCGTAAATAACCAGGTCCTAAGCTATGGAGCGCTCTTAAGGTGGTAACCAAAACCTTGAAGCACACCCAGAAGACCACCTGGAGCCAGTGCAGCTCGCACAGGAGAGGTGTCACATGGGAGCGCCATGTTGCTCCCATAACCACCCGCGCGGCCGCACTCTGCGCCAGTTGGAGCCTCCGGGTGCTCCTCAAGGGGAGCCCCATGTAGAGAGCATTACAATAGTCCAGGTGGGAGGTGACGAAGGCATGAGTGACTGTGTGTAGGGAGTCCCGATCCAGAAAGGGACGCAACTGGCGAATCAGGCGAACCTGATGAAAAATCCTCCCGGTCACGGCTGTCAAGTGTTCTTCTAAAGACAGCCGTGAATCCAGGAGGACGCCCAAGTTGCGAGCCCTCTCCGTGGAGGCCAGTGATTCGCCCCCAATAGTCAGCGATGGCATCAACTGACTATATCAGGACGTCGGAAACCACAGCCACTCAGTCTTGGAATGGTTGAGCCTGAGCCTGTTCCTTCCCATCCAGATTCGCACGGCCTCCAGACACTGGGACATCACTTCAAGGGCATCGTTGGGGTGGTCCAGGGTGGAGATGTACAGCTGGGTGTCATCAGCGTACTGGTGGTTCTTCATGCATAACCAAGTTATAACCAGTAGCCAACATGGGTTGATCAAAAACAGATCGTGCCAAACAAACTTTATTTCATTCTTTGACAAAGTGGCTAAATTAGTGAACCAGAGAAATGCTATAGACATAGTATACTTAGATTTCAGTAAAGCATTTGATAAAGTAGATCACAACCTACTTCTTGCCAACCTAGAAAAATGTGGCATAGGCAACAACACCACAAAGTGAGTTTCTAACTGCTTGACAAATCATACTCAACGTGTAATCCTCAATGGAGCTATCCCCACATGGAGGGAAGTAAGCAGGCCTACGAAGCAGGAAAAGGAGGGAACCCCTTCCAAAAACCTTTGCCAAGGAAACTGCAAAGCCAGGCATCAAGACTGACCCAAAGGCATCAAATACGAAGCTAAGAAGCGTCACGTTTCACTTTTTCACTTGGCTCAGTTGCAAAGGTCGGCTGCTAGGAGTCGAAAACATCTCCCAAAAGCCTTGGTGGAGATTGGACAGGCGTGTTTTTCCACCTCCCGCCGCTAGATGGCGGTCAGGCAACGTCTGTGCCTAGAAAGCCATCAATACAGTGGTGCCATCAGCGATTGCGCTTAAAAAAGGAGTTTTAAACCATTGAGTACTGCATTGCTAGATAGGATGGGAAGAGAGGAGAAGCGCAGAGCAACTTCCTCTTCCGGATGACTGATGGGAGGAAGTTGGTGTGTGCAGAGCGGCTCTTGTGCTCTTCCCAGGGTCGAAGCAGCAGCTGGCAGGTGAGTTGAGGGCTGCAGGTGGGAGGAGAGTCCGGGAGCAAGTCGGGCTGTTCGGTTCCCTCCACGGCCTGGAAGCGGAGAAGCAACTGGGCTGAAGCCTCTCAGCTGCTGCTGCTGCAGGTTCCTTCCCTCCCCAAATGGAAGCCCACTGGTGCTGCAGGCTGGGAAACTGGGGGCTGCAATTTCTGCTGGTGGGAAGCTTGAAAAAGCCTCTTTCAAGTGGAGGTTGGTTCTTTGGGAATGGCTTCCCTCCAGAGGTTGTGGCTGCTCCGTCCCTTGAGGGGAGACTGGACAGCCATTTGTTCTGGATGGAACAGATATAAAATGTATTGGCCACCAACCTTACCATGACATAACTGTGGGCGGCTTAGAGGCAGAAAATAATACATACACGTTAAAATCTAAACAAATTGTAGGAAGAAAAATCCAGTCCGGTTCCAAGCCAGGAGAAAGGAGCTGGAAATAAAATGCTTAGTGACACAATTGCAGTCAGTAAGTGAGGACTACTTCAATTGGAATGTCACCAAAGGGGTTGTGGAAAGTATTTTCTGCCTTTACTTGGAGTTCGTGGCTTCCATGGGCATAACTGGTGCTTCAAATCTTGCAGAGGCTTTAGGCCTCATTTGGTCAGTTAAAGCCCCCACATCTGTCAAGTTAGTGTCATGCAGATTGTCAGGTGTGGCTCAATAAAATAAAAGAGAGTTCAAGTGTGTTTGTTGATAAGCCAACGCATTTCTTCAGCTGAATAAAGATGGGTCCCTCCTAAGAAGGAAGGAACCCTGAACATAGTGAAAGGCAGATATTTATACATTTCTTTGCTTTCGCTTCATTACATAAGAGGCAGCTGGGACACGACAGATAAAGTATAGAAATATAGAAATAATAAAAATCATAAAAATAGTCAAGCATGCCTTCTGTGATTTTGATCACGTGCCTAACAGACAGGCTAATGGTTTCCTGTGAACGTTTCCATGGCCTCAGGAGACTATTGAGGCCTGAACTTCAGCCTTACCATCTGAACCTATGAGCAAACATCAAATTTATAAGGTTCCTGATTAATATTAGCGCAGAAGGTATGATTGAGATATTTTTCAGGCTTGAAAGACCTTGATTTTCTCCATATTGTAGATGTGTGTATTATTTCTGATTGTATATATCTCCAAATGCATAATCTCTCCCCAGGACTTCCAGATAAACAGTCATGTGAAAAAAAAGTACACTCTTCTTGACTTACATCAGGTCATCTTTTAATTTATAAAAAGAAAGCCAAAACAGAGAAGTCATATGTAAAAAAAGTATGAGTCAATAATTTGTAGAAATACCTTTAGCAGCAACAACCCCTCCATCACCATTCATGATGGTTTGCATGAGATGCTTGTGCTGATATGCTGTGTTTTGTTTTCATCAAACACGTCACTGCATTACAGCCACCAACTCCACTTTGGTCTGGTCTGTGCAAAGGACAGTGTTCCAGAAGTCATGTGATTTGTTCAGATGCAACTCTGCAAACCTCAGCCGTGCTGCTATGACCTTTTTAGAGAGAAGAGGGTTTCTCCTCACAACCCTTCCAAATAAACCATATTTATCCAGTCTTTTTCTAATTTCGCTGTCATGAATCTTAACATTTAACATGCTAACTGAAGCCTGTAGAGTCTGAGATATAGTTCTTTGTTTTTTTAGTAATTTCTCTGGCCATTGCATGGTCTGGCCTTGGGGTGAATTTTCTTGGATGTCCAGTCCTGGGAAGATTGGCAACTGTCTTGAATATTTCCCACTAGTGAATAATCTTTTTAACAGATTAACAGAGTTGGAAGGGACCTTATAGGTCATCTAGTCCAACCCCGCGCCCCCCCCTTCAAGCAGCAGACCCTACACTATTTCTGACAAATGGCAGTCCAAACTTTTCTTGAAAGTCTCAAGTGATGAAGCTGCCACAACTTCCAAAGGCAAGCTGTTCCATTGGTTGATCGTTTTCACTGTTAGAAAGTTCCTCCTTATTTCTAGGTTGAATCTCTCTTTGGTCAGTTTCCATCCATTATTCCTTGTCTGGCCTTCAGGTGCTTTGGAAAGTAGCTTGACACCCTCCTCTCTGTAGCAGCCCCTCAAATATTAGAAGACTGCTATCATGTCTCCCTTGGTCCTTCTCTTCACTACACTAGCCATGCCCAGTTTTCGTAACCGTTCTTCATATGTTTTAGTCTCCAGCCCCCTAATCATCCTGGTTGCTCTCCTCTGCACTTTTTCTAGAGTCTCAACATCTTTTTTATAGTATGGTGATGAAAACTGGATGCAGTACTCTAGGTGTGGTCTTACTAAGGCTTTATAGACTGGTATTAGTACCTCACTTGATCTTGATTGTATTCCTCTGTTAATGCAATTTAGGATTGCATTGGCTTTTTTGGCTGCCGCTGCACACTGCTGGCTCATATTCAGCTGATTGTGCACTAAGACTCCGAGATCCCTCTCACAGTCACTGCTATTAAACCTGGTTTCACCCAGTTTATATGTGTACTTTTGGTTTTTCTTACCTAAGTGTAAGACTTTACTTTTCTCTACATTGAATTTCATTTTGATAGATAGGGCCCAGTGTTCAAGTCTGTCAAGATCCATCTGGATCTTGAGGCTATCCTCTAGGGTGTTAGCTATTCCTGCCAATTTAGTATCATCTACAAATTTGGTAAGTCCCCCTTCTATTCCCTCATCTAAGTCGTTTATGAAGATATTGAAGAGTACTGGGCCTAAGACATAACCTTTGGTACCCTACTGCTTACTTCTCTCCATGTAGATTTGGACCCATTAAGGACTACTCGTTGAGTACGGTTTGTCAGCGAGTTGCAAATCCATCTGGTGGTGAAGCTATCCTACTTTTTTCTAGCTTACGAAGAAGTAGGTTGTGGTCTATTCTGTCGAATGCCTTGCTGAAGTCTAAGTATATTATCTACACAGTATTTCGCTGGTCATCTAATTTAGTCACTATGTTGAAGAATGAAATAAGATTGGTTTTGCATGATCTGTTTTTAACAAACATGCTGGCTGCTAATTATTACTTTACTCGTTTCTAGGTGTTAGCAGATCTGGTTTTTTATTATCTTTTCCAGTATCTTCCCAGATATTGATGGCTGATTGGTCTTTAGTTTCCTGGGTCTGTTTTTTCCCCCTTTGTGAAGATGGGAACCACATCAGCTCTTTTCCAGTCCTCTGGTAGTTCCCCAGTGTTCCAGGATTTTAAAAAGATGTGGTGCAGTGGTTCTGAGGTGACAGCTGCCAGCTCTTTTAGAACTCTGGGATGTAACCCATCAGGTCCTGGTGGTTTGAATTGATCAAGATCAGACAGGGGTTTTCTTACTATTTTTTTGCCTATTTTAACTTTTATTTCCAGTCTGTTTTTTACAATTATGTTTCTGGTAGGTTGGGCTATAGTTTCTTTTTGCGTGAAGACCAATGCAAAGAATTTTCTGGTTTCTTCTTGGATTTCTTGTTTTTCTTTCTCAGCACTATTGTGTTGGTCTGGGCTTTTATAATCATATTTTTCAGAGTTTCCCAAGATTCTTGAGTTGTTTTCCCCTTTAGGATTTTCATCCAATGAATCTTTTCCAAGAAAATTTGAGTTGCATTGGCCAGGAATCTTCCTCACTTTAGAATGATGTATTTTAAATTGTTTGGAAATGGCCTTTTAAACCTTTCCAAATTGATGGGCAGCAACAATTGCTTCTCTAAGATAACTGCTGATATCATTACTCTTTTGTATAGTATTAACACACACCTCAATGCCAGAGACCAGGAAACTCCTACAACTTCGGCTTTTATAGATGTAGTCACACTCGCTGATGATCAATTGATCGAGGGCACTTTATTAGCAGTATTTGGCTGCTACTTCACCTCTTTACACTATGGAAGCAGTGAGAAATTTCCTAATGGTGAGAATAATTAACCAGCAGAATGGCTTGCCTTCAGACATTGTGGTGCTCCATCACTGGAAGCTTTTCAGAAGAGATGTAATAGTCCCTTCTCCGAAATGGTATAAGGTCTCCTGCTTGAGCAGGGCTTGCGTTAGAAGACCTCCAAGGTCGCCTCCAATTCTGTTATTATCCTCTGTTCTGTTGCGATGATACTTATGATACCTTGATAAGTAAAACCATAGAAATGAAAGAGGATGTACTTTTTTTTTCACTTGACTGTATGTGAAAATAACCGCTTGCACTGCTAAGAATTTGTGATTGGCCCAGTCAACAAGGGAATTTCATTACTGAATGGATATTCGAACTTGGATCTGGGTAGTCTTCCATGTGTCATGATTAATGTAAGAGCTTCTTTGAGTATTGTGGCATGTTTGCTTTTTCATTGTAATGTAACCCTTTTTCTTTTTTTCTCATCTTCTGCAGCCATTTCATGCACAATTAAAGATACATTTATATTTGAATCTCATAGACAAAGAGGATGGCAACGAAGAGTACTCTGGACAACTGAAGATAAAAAGCAGCATTGAATAGCAAAGCAAGTCAGTCCAGAAATCAAAATATTTTCCATTTCTTTCACAAAGCCACACAATTCTTCACCTTCCTCAGTAAGTGAGAGAAAAACAAGAAAAAAATCAAGAAGAGATTTCTACCTGGGAAAAGTAATGTGTGAAATTCAAGCACATATTACATGAAAAGTCAAGGGAGATTATTTTTCCATTGGGCAAAAGAGGGAAATATCTGGAAGTTACTGGGGAGGAAAAGGTCAATTGGAAAACTATGACATAGAGCATACAGAGTTGCAGGCGTCACTCTGGGAGAAAGAATGATTGAATCAATGCACCGCTAAACAAGGAATCATCCATATTTTGGATCTCCTCAGAAATATTAGTTGTGGAAAAGCCCCATAAACGTACCTGTTGTGGGAAAGATAAGACTTGCAAATCACAGCTGATTATGCCAGAGAGGATCCTGACTGGAGAAAAGCCATACAATACTCTAAATGTGGCAAAACCTCTGAGCAGAACACCTCCATTGTGGTTC